GGCTTTATTGAGTATATTTTATTGGTTGTATTCATTGATTTTCTATTTGTATTGAGAGTATCTTACTGTATTTCATTGTATTGTTGTTTTAAATATAGATGGATACAGTTAGGTTGAAAATACATATGAATACAGTTAGATTGAATGCATAACTAATTGATGAATAATATCAAAATGATAGAACTAACAATGTACTTAAAAATATTGTTGTATGAATTCAAATACATATTAATACATCTAAATACAACAGTCAAAATCAGTGTATGCCTTATCGAATACATATAAATACATCTAAATACAAGAAGAGAAAACTATTGTATAAATATGTATGCCTTGTCGAATACATAAAAAGACATCTAAATACAAGAAGAGAAACCATTGTACAAACTAAAGTTCAATGTATACGGACCCGAAAATATAAATACATCTACAATTAGGGTCATTGCGTATTTTTGTTCTCCTTTCGGCTTCAATGGTTGTTGATGAACCTACAAATACATTTCAATTGTTATATGTGAATGGTTTAACCCATTTCCCCAAACCTAATCCTAATTTCATTAGCCGCTGCCACCCTCTCCTCTGTCCTTTCCTCTTCCATGTCAACATTCAAAATCAATTCAGCTATGAACAGACCATGTCCCTTCCACTTTGGGAAAAGATACAACTCATATCAGAAACTTTGATCAAGACATTTTGAAACTCATGTGTAACATAGATGAAATCCAGCAAATCTACTCCAGGGTTTGAGAACAATCTGAGAGAGAACCTGCAAATAAAGGAGAATCGTGGTTCAACAATGGGGAAGACAATGGTGATGTGAGAGAGAGATAGTGTAGAGAGAAATAAGATACTATGTGGTGATTATGGGAAAGAATAAACTGAAAGAATGAGAGAGAAAAAAATATTAGACAACGTATTTAATGGCTAACGGTAGGAAGTGGCCAAAAATACATATTTTGCTATAAAAACTAAAAGGTAGCTATAGAAAATAATATTTTAAAAAGATTTTTATTTATAATAAATAGGGTGTAAAGCTTTTCTATAGGAGGTAAAATTTCCTAAAAAGATAAAGAGGTACTACGGAGTACTCCCTCCGGTCCACTGTAAGTGGATTTTTGGCCTTTTTTGTAGTTCACAATATCTTATTGTTTCAAATATCAAGAAGAAATTAATTTCTTCTTTCCAAGGTTGCTCTTGGAGTAAAGAGCCTAGGAGTCGTTTGTTATATTTCCAATGAGCAAATTAAGGTTAATATGATCAATTTTATTATTAACTAATGTTAAAATATAAATTTCTTAATATGTGTTAAAAAAGTCAAAAAATGAGTTAAAATGGACCGGAGGGAGTACCTTTTTAGCGATAGATAGAGTCACAGAGGCGGATCCAGGAATTTGGGAGGATGGATGCACTATTACGAAGCGGTGGATTTTTTAGGGATTCAATCTTTAGTTCTACTATTGCATCCATTATACTTTTGGAATTATAAGTTCAAATTTAATATTTATATAGTAATTTTCTTACATCTATATCTGTATTCTTTACTCCCTATCGAAAATATTGGGATCAGTTGAATCCATTGACTATATGCTACATCATTCATTGCTACTAGTTTTAATATGCACATTTCGTTTAACCATATAAATTTTATGGTAACAAAAGAATATAGGAATTTCAATGCGTGAAATCATAAAAGAATAAAAGAATAGGAATTTCAAAAAGTGACACGTGACATGTCCATCTCCCGTGGGTGCATAGTTTTAAGAAAGGATAAATACATAAGTACACCCTTAAACTTGTCCAAATTTTTTACATAGATCTTTGAACTACAACTTGTTCCTATTGAACAATTAATCCAAGCTCAAGTGTACCAATTACACTCAATTCAGTAACATGGAACTGTGCGTGTAAGACACATTCTTTAAGAGCGTGAGAGGCCATATTTTCTTTTTAATTTTTTTTTTACGTTCTCCTTCCTCCTACCTCTCCCCTCCTAGATCTCCACCACCATATACCACCACCCTCCGGCATACTTACTTCTTGCCGCGATATACTACCCCTTCTCCTTGCCCTTTTGTTTTCCGTCACTCCTACCACTTCTACCACCACATTCATTCTTTTCCTTTCCTCTTTTCTATGTTCATACCATCGCTGCCGCTGCCACCAACTACAGTTTAATTTAGAGAAATGCTGAAGGTTGGAAGTTTTTTAGACATAATACTAATGACGCACTGAATGTATTTAAATGCAGTACGTTAAAAATGAATTCCAAACATACCGTGAAATATTTAGCAGTGAACATTAAAGGGATGTCATTTCAATAATCCTAAAAGCAAAATCCAAACATAATTTGAATACAAGCTCATTCTTCTACCTCCAGTTTCGCTTCTCCAACAATCACTATCCCTGCTGCTTCTCCAACAATCACTTCCCAGCCGCTGCCATGTAATCCCCAGAAATTTACAACCTTCCACCATCGTATTGTCTTTAATATGTTTCTCGATGTAAAGAGGAAGAAGGAAGAAGACATGCTAAAGTAGTGTTTCCACCGCCGGCCACCATCAGTCAATGTTACTCTTCTTTTTTAATTTTCACACATTGACCGTTTTATTTTCTTCCTTGACGTGTCAATTTTTCATTGGTTTGATCTCCCATGTTATTGGCAAGTGATATTCACGCACTCTAGTTTATTAAGAGTTGTCAAATTTGTGTTCAATTGGTACATATTTCATAGAGATCAAAGTGTTTAATAGGAATAAGGCTTAGTTTGAGTGTCCAAGTGAAAAATTTGGACAAGTTTAAGGGGCCATGTATGTATTCAACCTTTTAAAAAAATAAAATAATTAACATGAGATTTGAACTCATAATTCACTGTCCAGTAATCATTGCATTATATGATACTTTGAGCTTGGGTGTACACACATATATTTAGTATTTTTAAAAAAATATAATATTACTATACATGATTTAGGGAGGGGAGCATGAGTTCACATGCCTCATGGATCCTTCCCTAGATACGCCCCTGGATAGAGATGTTATCCATAGGATTAAAACCGTATGGTTGAAATGAAAAAGTTCTTCTAGGTTATTATGTGACAGAAGGATGCCTACCAAGCTGAAAGATATGTTCTATAGAACAGTGATAAGACCGGCTATGTTATATGGTAGTGAATGTTGGGTTGTTAAAGTTAGCATATTCACAAGAAAAGTGTTCCAAAAAATATTGTGAATTCTAAGAAGGATATGCGTCTCACACAAGATTAAATGAGATTAAAATAATTAAATTCACTAGAAGGTACATGTATCACACATTGATGATAAAATAAGAGAAGATTGTTTAAGATGGTTTGGTTATATCATGTGTTGACCTACAGATACATTGGTCTGTAGGAATAAACTGCAATAGGTAAATGTGTTAAAAGGGGATGAGGTGGACCTAAGTTACATGGAAGAAAATTGTTTCGAAAGATCTATATATCATTGTAAGCACTATAGATTGAGCTAAAGAGAAAGCACAACGGAAGAGAAAAATCCATATAGGTGATGCCTACTAATTGAGAATAGGTTTTAGACTTGGTAGATTATTATTATTATTATTATTATTATTATTATTATTATTATTATTATTATTATTATTATTATTATTATTATTTGCTACTACTAATAATAATTTTTAATTGCACTTCTAATTTATTTTAGTACTAATGATGATATAAGTTAAGCTGAACGAAAAGAATAAAGATTTTATATCGCCGACCTCAAATTGCTTGGAAATGACACGTTGTTGTTGTTATTATTATAAATCATACATAGACTATTTTGCAAATTATATTATTGAAGTATATATTATTGACATTTATGTTTGTTGATTGTTTATAATCTGATTGAAGGAAGAAAATCATATGTTTTTTCAATGATACATATGAAATTTAATAACTTACCTTCTTCACTTTAATAAGACAAAACAATTTTTTCTATGATACCTTGTGAATTACTAACTTGCCTTCTTGACTTTAAGTGTCAAAAGAAAGTAATGTACAAATTTTGAAAACTCAAGTATTCTGATTATGTTCAATATTCTGAATGTGATTATCATGGCAAGTACTTCAATATTAACACCACACCATAACCTATATAAAGAAGTGGCATCTTGATTGGCAAAATTCAAGTTTTCCTCCCATCTATTTACCATGTCTGCGTTTAAGAAATGTTCTTCTCTAAAATTATGTTGCCCTAGCACAACTATTTTCTTTCTGCTTTTCCTCATAGTGGGCTTCACTGGTAGTGACGCCCTTACTGATCGACTAATGATCATGAAAAAAGAAGGTAAAATTATCTTAAATAATGTAGTACCACCGTCTGGGCCATCACAAGGTGGCAATACGAACCCACCAACTTCAACAAAGAATGGACCACAAATCCTTCGCGAAAGGCATTTTTTGAAGAGTGAAAATCCTCGTTTTGGCCATTAAACCATGGATAGGAAAATTACCAATTTCTTGATCTAGTATTTGTCTTGGCCCTAAGCCTAATAGAAATCAATAAGTGAGGAGTGGTGATCGAATAATCTATTATATTCTCTATGTGATTTTTCACCACAAGGTGTTGTGTTCAATTTTATATCGAAAAATGGTTTCATGCATTCACATGTATCCCATGTATCATTACTTCATTTTGATTGCTGATTGCACAACCTTTATTAATTCTTAGTTTTTATCGTTGTCTAAATTAACTTTGCGAAGGGAGTGGTGAAACTACGAAACGTTTAGGAATCGGAAACAAATTACCAAATCAAATAAAAAAATCAATTTGATTTGGTATTTTGTTTCCAAATGGTTCTAACTCATTCCATCAAGTTAATTTAATTAAGAATGTCATGCTAGTAGTAATAGCTGGGTAATATACCAAAACTGCTCAAAAGAGGGAATAAGTAGATTATAGATAGAATTTGATCGTCTTGTGCAAGTTATATATAAAGATCAATTATGAAGTACGCTAAAAAATCAGCTTAGAACATGAATTAATTATATAAATTGTTGAAGAAAGAAGCTGGAATATGAAAAGAAAACCCGAAACAATACAAAAAAGCTAGATTAAATTGCTTTTTTAATCATACATTAGCTTTACTCTTTATTCGCAAATCAGACAGTGCTGATTTAATTTTGAGTATTTATTTCTTGAGCTTGATAATCCCTTGCTTTATACTTTAGATGGAGGAACCATCAAGGCATATCCATTCACCAACGAACATTTTGTCACAATTGAGGTTAGGGTTGAAAGCAGTAAAAACCTCAGAGGTCACACTGAAATTTTCCATAATGCTGAAGCATGTGTCTCCAATATTTGCACCATAAATCTTATTGCACACTGGAACAGAATTTGTTCCAGTTTCAGCTGACCCATCAAGAAAATAATATATTATTTAATAAAATTTACTTTTTATAATTAGGGTCATGGGTCTTTTTGGGCATAATTAATACTAGCAAGGTAATATATTTAGGTTTGATACTTACATGAAAGTATTCTACTTTCTGCCACGTAAACGGAGAGAAGGAACAACAAGAACAAAGCTGAAAAGAACGACTGATACTTTGTAGTTGGCTCTTGCCATTTCTGTTGTTTAATTGCACAAAAACCGATTTTCTGTTCGTCCCTATTCCTTTAATCGTTGGATTGGTGGATGAATTTGTTAATGATGCCGTTGCATTTATAGTGGAATTACTTTAGATATTTATCAAAATGAGACAAAAATTGGACGTTGTAATTTCCTTCAATTGACCACACGGTTGCCGACATCGTTGTACACATTACATTATCTACAACTTGTTATGAAATACATATTTATATGGATGTCCACTAATCAAATATAACTCTCACTACTCTTCTCCATTATGTAGAGAACCTCCATTATTTCTCACCATTATAGTTGTAACTCTCACACTTTCATAATCTTCCCATCATCTTTTCTATGATCTCAAATGTTTAATGCAATATTTATGACATTCTTTTGTATACTTGTTAGAATATTTGATAAAGGCTGAACTATTTGGGCTATTTTTATAACTTAGGTCCATGTCTATATTGAGTCCATTGTTTTGTATTAGTTAGGCCACCGGGTCAGGCCCATTATTTATAAGAGGAGTCCCTCATTTTTGTAACCAGATTGACATTTCTCAATGTAGAAAATATCTGCTTTCTCCCGAACCTTCTCTCAACCTATGAACCCTAGTTTACATTTTGTCAATCTCTCTATAAATTTCGATAATTTTCATGGTATCAGAGCATAGATTCTGGTAGATCGTATCATTAGCTTCCGATCGATGTTAACCTCTTCAGTTTTCATCGAGTTTTTTTTCGTTTGGACTGCATTCACGGTGGATTATGGTTTTGTTTGGTTTTTGTTGGATGATTTCTTCTCATTATCGTCTGTCTCTGCTGGATTTTACTATTTCTCTGGATATTTGACTGTACTTGGCTGATTTGCTCATCTGATTCGAGCTAGGGTTTTCTCGTCGGTGTTTAGCTGAGCCGCCAGAAGTTCGATCACAAGGATGTTCTCTTTTCGGTTGCAAAATAGGGGGTACACCAGTTCTCTCTTCATATTTCATAAATTTGTTTGTTGAATTGCTGACTGTTTCTTATTGATATATTTTCTCTCAATGACGAATGATAATCCTGCAATTACACATTCTTCTTCCTCTACTGCATCTCGTACTATATTTTACGAAGATGATTTTACACATCCATGTCATCCATTATATGTACATCCATTAGATGTGTTGGGAACCTCTTTGGTCTCTAGTCCATTTGATAGAAGCTTGCTATGGCAGCTGGAAGGAGAAACATCTTGGTTGCTCTCTCCATTCATAATAAATTTGATTTTATCAATGGCACCTCTACAAAGCCACTTCCAGGATCTCCTCTGGCACGTCAATGGCAACGGTGTAATGATCTTGTAGTGTCATAGTGGGTTAATTCTTTGTCAAAAGAAATATTTCGTAGCATAGAATACTCTGAATATGCTAAAGATATTTGGTGTGAATTGGAGGAGAGATACAGTAAGGCTGATAGGGCCAGAGTTTTTGAGCTAAATAAAGAATTAGCACATATCTCTCAAGGGTCTTTATACATAGCTTCTTACTTTAATAAAATCAAATAACTATGAGATGAAATAGCTTCTTATAAGGTTAGAGTTTGTAATTGTGGGGGTAAGGCTGCTGAAGATGAAGAGTAGAAGGTTTATCAGTTCCTTATGGGTCTGAATGATACCTACATGCAAACTCGCAGCAACATTTTAATGAAGAAACCACTTCCATCTGTTGGAAATATGTACAACATCTTATTATATGATGGTAAGCATAGACAGGTGTCTTCTGCCTCCCAATTCTCCACAGTCTGTTTCATTCAATGTTGGGACTTCTAAGCCATCATTTCCTTCCAAGGTTTCTTTTGAGGCTCCCAAGTCTTCTCTCATCTGCAAATATTGCAAGAAACCTAGGCATTCTATAGACAAATGCTATAAATTACATGGATATCCTCCCAATTTCAAGTTCAACAAAGGACCTCCCCCTCACAGAACTACTGCACATGTTGAGCTTGAATCTTCTGGTGGCTCTTCTGTGCCTTGTGGTTCTGATGGTCCTGTTGAGAAGGAGTAGTCCTCTGTGATACCTGGTCTTACCAAGGATCAATACTCTCAGGTGATGATCTAATTACAACAATCCCAAATCTATGCTTCCCCACATTTTCCACCTCTCTTTGCTTTTGCTAACTTTTCTGGTAAGATTATGCCTTATGAGGGTGTTTCTTATAGAGCTTGTATGTTGTCTAGTATGAATGGAATTGTTTGGATAATAGATTTTGGAGCTACTGATCAAATGACTTCCATCAGGAGTTTACTTTTTGATATAATCACTCTTCTTATTCTTTATCTTGTGTCTCTTCCAAATGGGTATAAAGTAAAGGTTACCAATATTGGTTCTTTAGCTTTATTTCCTGATTTAATTCTTCATAATATTCTTTACATCCCTAGTTTTAAACATAATCTCATATCTGTTCACAAGCTTTTGTCTCATTGTGATAATGTTGTACAGTTTACCAAGTCTGCTTGCACTTTCTAGGGCCCCTCAATGAGGAAGCCAGTGGTGCTTGGTAGACTGGACAATGGACTTTACAAGCTGTTCCAACATGTCACTTCTCCTGTTGAATCTGTTAATGTCAATTCTTATTCTTCTATTGCTTTTTCTCTACATGTAGTGTCTAATAATGCTGCTATTGACAATTCATCTGTAAATACCATAGTTGATTCAAATAAAATGAATAAATCTGATATTGTTTGGCATTATAGACTTGAACATATTTCCTTTTTCAAAATGAAACTTATTTCTGGTCTTGATTGTAGACTATCCTCCAAACAGTCTTTCATATGTCCCATTTGCCCCTTAGCAAGACAAACTGGGCTCCCTTTTCCTGATAGTTCTATTCAGTTCACTCACCCTTTTCAGTTTGTACATATAGATACTTGGGGTCCCTACTCTACTCTCACTCATTCTGGTTCTAAATACTTTCTTACTACAATAGATGACTATACTAGGGCTACCTGGACACATTTGATGGGAGCAAAGAGCAATGCTTTTGATTTGTTAAAACCATTCATCTTTATGGTTGAAACACAGTTTCAAACTAAAGTACAGACTGTGAGAAGTGATAATGTTTTAGAGTTAGGCTCCAGTTCCTCTGGTTCTCTTTTCTTCTCTGAAAAAGGGGATCATTCATCCAACTTCTTGTCCTCATATCCCTCAACAAAATGATGTAGTTGAAAGGAAACATAGACATTTGTTAGAGACTGCCAGGGCTCTTTTATTTCAATCTCACCTTCCTATTAAATTTTGGGGTGATTGTCTTCTTACTGCTACTTACGTGATAAATAGATTTCCTTCACCACTTCTCAAACACAAGAGTCCCTATGAGTTACTATATTCTCGTCTCAGATCCTTTGGCTGCCTTTGCTACTCAACTGTGCTCAAACCTCATAGAGACAAGTTTCATCCTAGGTCTATCCCATGTGTGTTTATTGGCTATGCATTTGCCAAAAAAGGTTATAAATTTTACAGTTTGTCCACTAAATCATTTTTTGTCTCCAGAGATGTGACTTTTCATAAGCACGTCTTTCCTTTCTCAAAATCTTTTGTTCCCTCATCTCTTGGCATACCTTCTTCTTTGTTCCTAGTCACTTTTCTGATGATTCGTATTCTCCCCTATCTCCTCATGTTCCTGTTTCTTCTCCCCAGTCCTCTCCCATCTCTACTCCTCATTCTCCTTCCTCAGGTTCCCCTGATTTCATTTTCTCTCCTTTCTCTAGCTCCTCTTCCCATTCTGTTCTTCCTTAATCTCCTTCTCAAATTACAAGATCTAGTAGGCCTCATACTATTCCTGCTTATTTTTAGGATTATGTATGTCCTACCCTTCCTCCTTCTGCATCTCTCCCTGCTCCTTCTAGTTCTGAGTCTGTTTCCTTCAATGCCACCACTATATAGCTCCACAACCCTGAGCCTTACACTTACTCTCAGGTTGCTGCTATCCCTGAGTGGTAGGATGCTATGAGAAAGGAGTTTGAGGCTATGGAGGCTAATAGAACTTGGGATATTATTGATTTACCCCCGGTAAAAAGCCTATAGCCTGCAAATGGGTATACAAAGTAAAATATAGAGCTGATGGGAGTCTGGAAATATATAAAGCCAGGTTGGTAGTTAGGGGTGATACCTAGGTTGAGGGGGTTGATTTTCATGAAATATTTTCTCCTGTTGTTAAAATGTCCACTGTGAAATCTTTAATTATTGTTGCTGTCAAGCAACACTGGCCTCTAATTCAACTTAATGTTAATAATGCATTCTTACATAGGGATCTTGATGATGAGGTTTTTATGAAGGTACCTCCTGTATTATCTGTTCCTCCTTCTTGTTCTTCTCATTTTCCTTTGGTTTGCAAGCTACTTAAGTCCCTCTATGATTTGAGATAGGCTTCCAGACAATGGTATGCTAAATTATTTCAGGCCTTTTGTTCTAGAGGATATTCTCATTCTTTAAATGATCACTCCCTATTTACTAGGGGTTCTAGGACTTCTTTGGTCATTTTACCTGTGTATGTGGATGATATCATCCTTATTGGGACTGATTTGTCTGAGATTTCTTTCGTAAAAGGCTTTATGTATGAACAGTTTAGAATTTAGGACCTTGGTTCTCTTAAGAGGTTCTTTATTCTGATTTTGGGGTTCTTCTTCATCAAAAGAAGTTTGTTCATTACTTATTGGATTTTTTGCTTCTTCTGCTGTCGTTTGTCTTCTTGCTCTTAATGAGAAACTGAAGGTTTCGTTGGTGAGCCTTTTACCAAGACTGAAGAGTATAGGTGCTTGGTAGGTAAGTTAAAACTCTTGACCCGTACAAGGCCTGATATTAGCTTTGTCGTTCAGCATCTCAACCAGTTCTTGCAGACTCCTTGTGTTCCCCATATACAGGCTGCTTTACACTTGTTGAGTTATTTGAAGGACACTTCTGATTTTGGACTTTTCTTCAGTAATTCACCTGATCTTTCCTTGATGGTATACTGTGATAGTGATTGGGCTTCTTGTGCTGATAGTAAAAGATCTGTGACTGGTTTCTGTGTTTTCCTTGGGGATTGTTTGGTGAGCTAGAAATCCAAAAAGCAGCCTATGGTCTCTCTTTCCTCTGCTGAAGCTGAGTATAGGGCCATGAGTAAAGCTGCAGCTGAGGTCACTTGGCTTTCCAGGTTATTATCAGATTTTCGTCTTCCTTCTTCTTCTCCCATCCCTTTGTATTGTGACAATCAGGCAGCTTTGCACATTGCCCGCAACCCAGTATTTCATGAGAAGAGTAAACATATAGGCTGGACTGTCATTTCTTCAGAGAAAAAATTGGTGATGAGCTGATCAGCTAGGGTCATGTCTCCAGTAATGCTCAAGTTGCTGATATTCTTACCAAGGCCCTTCCAAAGCCTGCTCATCATTTTCATCTTCGCAAGTTGGGGGGTTTTATCACCCTCCAACTTGAGGGGGGCTGTTAGAATATTAGATAAAGGCTAAACTATTTGGTCCATTCTTGTAACTTAGGTCCATATCTATATTGAGTCCATTGTTTTGTATTAGTTGGGCCACCGGGTTAGGCCCATTATTTATAAGAGGAGTCCCTCATTTTTGGAACCAGATTGACATTTCTCAACGTAGAAAATATCTGCTTTCTCTCGAACCTTCTCTCAACCTAAGAACCCTATTTTACATTTTGTCAATCTCTCTGTAAATCTCGATACTTAACATACTTCGATGTAATACTATAAATAAAGAATGAGAAATAATATTGCACACACTTGAAAAGAATTGGAAAACACTTGATGAAATAAAAAACTTCTCTCTTTCCTCTTTTTATCTCTTGTCTATTTTCTTGGTTTATATTGTTACTTTGAGCTCAGTTTCTTAATACAACCATGTGCTCTTGTCCATTTTTCTTTTCTTGGTTGTTCTTTTTCATTTTACATAGATAATAATATCGAAATCTTAGTCCAATAACTGGTCAATATAATCGTTGAAATTCGATAA